TACTAGGGGCTCCTGGCATCGCTACTAGGAGCAAGGACACTACTAGGAGCAAAGAAACGAGGGGGTCTTTGAGATTTGCCATGTGGGAACTGCAACAAGGCGTCTGCACGGCCAACAAGTGCACGTGGGGGAGCTCACCAAAGAACAACTTCTCTACAGTGAAGCGCTCTGAGTGAATATGTTTGATTCTGCAGGTGTGAGTGCCAGCACAGAGACGTGGACACCTCGATTGGTTGATCTGAAAGGACAACTGAAAGATGTGAGAAATTCTGACTTCTTTTGTTATTTTTTGTTGCTGTTCTCTTCGAACAGTTCTTTCACGGGGTTTCGCCGGTTGCCTGATGTATTGAAACATGCTTCCTTTTTTGTATTAGTAGCATCCTTGCTCCTAGTAGTAAGGCCAGGAGCCCCTAGTAGCTGCTTGTTCCTAATAGCGATGCCAGGAGCCCCTAGTAGCGTCCTCTTGCTCCTACTAGTTCTTGGATTCCTGTCAGTTTGAGGTTGGCCCAGACGTCCCCGGCAAGAGGCAGGTGCCATGGTCTTCGGAAGTGTCTCGACCCAATTCGATCCAGGTGTTGCCGGCTCCAGCGGTGATCGCTTTCTCACACGAGAGGCAAGACAGAGAAGCAAGCTTTGCACTGCCAGCAAACCTCACACATTGTCAATCTTTTGTTTTTTTCATTTCCATCCTTGTTAGTTGCCACTTTCCTTGTCCTTTTTCGCAATCGAACCCACCCATCCGATCTTGGCCACACGCGCAATAGTGATGCGTTCAGCACCTGACATGATCTTCGGAAGACCAAACCCTGAGTAGAAGCTATTCAGTCGCCGTGTTCCGTTTCTCGGCATGCCATGGTGCATTATGGCGCCCTTTTCCTCGCTCCTTTTTCCAGGGCTTATGGTCTCTGCAGCATGCTTTGAAGAAGCAATCAACGTCACAAGCCTCCAGCCCCGCAAGAGTCCGTTGGAGGCCATCGCTAGTAGGGTGGAGGCCATCTCACATTCAGCTTCCACTGAGCTCCGATTTAAGCAGCTAGTTGGTCACGCCGCTTGAAAGCATCGAGGGACTGCTTTGAGCGTCTCTTTCGGGAAAGTACGCGCCTGTAAATATGTGCGAAACCACATGGAAGACCACAACAGAGGGGCGTTGGTCTTTGCCTTCCAAAGTAACAAGAAGCTACTAGGGGCTCCTGGCCAGCAAGGACGCTACTAGTAACAAGGGCCTCGCTACTAGTAACAAGAAGCTGATGCAGCCAAAGCACGACGTGAGCCTTGAGAAAGCGAAGCGACAAGTTCTCTGAACTGGCCATCCTTCAAATATGTTACTAGTAGCGTCCTTGTTCCTAGTATTAATCCCAGGAGCCCCTAGTAGCTTCTAGGTACTAATAGTAAATATCTTCTTTGAAATCCAGATGTTGCAAGATTATGCTTTCCATTTTGCAGGCAACATCAGCACGACGGAAGGAAAGTTTCGCCACAGCCTCGTTCAACCGACTTGCCGTGTTGGTCTTTTCCAGTGTGGGGAACTGAGGCCTCAGCCAGCTCAAAAAGACGCGGCGAGGAGCGGGTTCTGCGGGGTTGCAAGTGGATGCACGGCACGGATTCGAAAAATTATCGCGGTTGCAGGTGGAATAAGTTCACAAAATCAGTATGAGGTCAGCAAACCCTGCCTCATGCCAGGCATCTGCCCCTTCAACGTCTTTGGCCAAGAAACGTTGTGCTTAATTTCGACCCTCACACTTTCGTTAGTGGTGAGTTCAGCCCTCTGTGAGTTGGTTTCAAATGGAGCAAAGTTAAGGATTGTGAATATATCTGAGCTGTTTCAGGGCTCACTGCAATGCCGAGGCAACCAACGCCCAATTCGCCTCCAAGGAAGAAACAGGCAGCAGCAATTGCTGGAAAGTAACTAGGAAATACGTTTTAACAGTTGAAAGAACTGAAGAAGGGCAGAAAGACAGGAACAAAGGGACATGCAAATGACACGCAGATTGTGTCTATGCAGGAGGACAAAGAGGCAAGTAGCCCACCAACAGTGCAGCCTCAGGCGCAGTTTTGGGCTGTTGCCCAAAACTGAAAGCCTGAAGGAAGACCGAAAGCCTGAAAGTCACGGACTGCAAAGGAATCAAGATTAGCCTTTGGGTTCCAAAACTGCAGACATAGATACATGAGAGAGACCATTAGGAAGGTCAGAGAGGACTCAGAGAGGACTCCTTGATGCGAAATGCGAAGGATGCTCTTAGCGCATTGAATTGCATTGAGCAATAGGTTAGAGGCCATCGCTACTGTAGTAGGTTGGAGGCCATTGCTATTAGGTTGGAGATCGGGCTTAAAAACAAAGATGCGAAAGTTGGTCTTAGCATAGAAGCTACTAGGGGCTCCTGGCCTTACTACTAGGAGCAAGGACGCTACTATAGGGGCTCCTGGCATTGCTACTAGGAGCATTCTTGCCACTAGTAGCATCCTTTGCTCCTAGTAGTACGGCCAGGAGCCCCTAGTAGCGAACATTGTTCCTAGTAGCGATGCCCTTTGCTCCTAGTAGCGAACATTGTTCCTACCCCCCGCGCGCGCGCGCAAGGTCCTAGTAGCCTCCTTCACTACTAATTTTAATTTGATTCTAATTAAATTCTAATTTACATATTGTTTCTACTAGATTGTTACTACTAGTAAGGCCCTTTGTTCCTAGTAGCGATGCCCTTCGCTTCTAGTAGCTTCTTGTTCCTACACACCGCTCTTTGCGCTGTGTAGGTGAACCTCGCCTCGGTTGGACCTGGAGCACCACTTTTTGCTCCGCCACCTGGCTTGGAGAGGCACCTCGGGCCATAACAAAGCGTCTTGAAATGCAGAAAAACAACTGGCACTTGCATTTGGCAAGGCAAGGTGCTTCCAATATGTGGCCAAAGAAGCTTGAATGATTTGAATGTAAATCAAGTGCAAAATCACAGATGCATTACACAATTACGAGACACAGACATAATCAAAAAGAAACCAAACTGTGAACCGCTTCTTCGAAGTGCAAAACTGGTCAAAAGTGACACTGCCTGACCAGGCAAAGCGAAGAGATTCTTGCACCACCGGGACTTGGGCCACCGCCTGGATTGGGGGGCCCAATGTTGGGTGTGGAGCTTTGATGTTGTGCCTTAGCCGCTTCACCTGTCTAACGTGACAGCATGAGAATATGTATATAGATGGCTGGCCTTCTAAGTACAAAGTTCTGCACATCATGTTTTACTTGATGAGAAAGACGATGGTCAAACGGCAGCTGAATGCTTTGCGAGGCTTTTCGGACTTGTTTGCCAGCATACGTCGAAGAGACTTTGCAGAGGCAGTTGCATCCTCTTGGACATGCATTGACTGGAATAGATCTATGAGTCTATGAGCATCAGAACATGGGCCAAGTGATTGACTTTGTTTGCATCGTAATTCAATGCTTTTGACAACTAAGCATCACAAGCTCAAAGCTTCACAGAGAGGAAATCTGAGAAAGCAGAACACGAGTGGATTTGATACGGAGGCCTATGGTGGATTTGAGACGGACACTACGAGCTTTGATGAGGAGGCTCAACCAACTCAGTCTCGCAACAAAGAATGACACTGTGAGCCTCCTGCATCCTTCCAACCTAGCCGGTTCTTGACAACTTTCCCTTTGTTTTCCTGTGTTACAGGTGGAGCTGCTTCGCTGTGAGAAAGACTTGGTGGAGGCAGCTGTTGAGCTAGGCGGGAAAGGGGAATCGGAACGAGGGGTAATACTATGAGGTTGGCTGGGAAGGCTCCGAGTTGGTTGCTTCTTTGCTTCATACCTTTTTGTACCAGTTGCTGGTGCCTGTGATCGTAGGTCTAGAGCACCATGCCCCATGTTTGCAAAGCATTTTCGTTTGAGGCACCACCACTTCAGCGGAAGATGACCTCCTTACAACAGATGCAGATGTCGATGATGAAGAGGATGGCTGGTGCCCTATCAAATGCTGCTCAACATGCTCTGCCAAGTGAAGAACGATGAATCGTTGCACAGTTGGACTCACTTGAAACCAAGCCTTCGTTGACATGCTATATTCTACTTTAACATGCATGGATATGGATACATTGGAACTTCATGTCTATGAACATATCATGATCACCCAATAAGCCTCGAATCAAGAAGGCAACATACATGAAATCTGCTGAAAGCAGTCACATGCATGATATGTGACGCTGCGGAGTTTCCACTCAGTGGAAGTCGAAGTGGATCCCTGTCATCCACTGCCAGAGGTCTGGTAGGGGGGGCTTTTGAAGGGACACGGCCTTGGCCGAACTTTTGAAGTACAGGGCGGGCCATGGTTCCCTCAAGAGGCTCTTATGAGCCTGTCGGGGGAGGGCCAACCCCGTGCTGACGAAGGTTGGCAAGAAGATGAAGACACAGGCCCGAGAATGAGGCTCATCAATGAGAGGATGTTGCCCCAAGGAGCCGCACCGAAGATTGTCCACACTGAGTGCCGGTTGGTGTGCTCATCGCGTGGGCCTGCAAGAAAAACGCCAGCAGCTGTCCAAGTGGTTTGTTGGGTGAGTGCTGATACTCGCTCAACACGGAGACGACCAGGTGAGTCCAGGGTGAAGATTAGCTGGCATCTGGATGTGGCCAGCTCCTATCACGTCAACTCCTCTCAGAGTTGGCCTGACGGAGGCAGTTTGATGTGAAGAAGGAAAGCTGCGACTCAGCACCTCGAACATAGCCCAATAAGCTGAGCTCATGTCTCAGGTCCTTGAGGACCGTGCAACAAACGCCCTTATTACGCAAGGCTACAACCAGAGCAGTGAGCTCAAGGGCAAGCTGAGGCAAGAGGCCAGATGCAGCCCCTTTGTTTTGAGGGTTGCTCACCACAGCTCAAAACACCCAGCCGCGCTGGCTGAGTAGAAAAGAGCTGGTTCTCCTCGATTGCTGAAGTCTTCGCCGTGTCGTCAGCTTTTGGGTGCTGAGTTTGCAAGTTTGGGCCGTCATCAGTCCATGGTTTGATGCCAAGTTCTGCCTCAACTTCCGCCTGAGCTCCCATTCTCCCAACTTTTTTCCTTCGAACAACATGTCAGTACCCGCTTTAGAATTTGTGGCACCTGCGGAAAATATGTGGGCGCTACCTCAGGTGGCGAAAGGTAGAGCGCGAGCCCATCCGCCCGACATCGAGCATGAATGGTTCATGGATGAAGGGACCCACGTTGTTTTGTGCCGGTACATGTCGCTGCCTCTCCCCAAGGGTCGGGTGCAAGCCTGCAGCGCTGCTTTTGCGGTAGCTGGCGCTTGATTCAGCCAAGGCTATGTTTTTAGCGTATGGGGTCGGTTCTGTTCATATCTAACTTTCTTGAAAGATTTTTTGGTTTCCGGCTTGCAAGTAATTTCCTGCACGAAGGTGGAATGCCGCAAAGGATCGACTTACGGCTTTGGTTTCGGGTTCTGTCCAAGTTGATTAAACTGGACTCAGTGGCGACTCAATGAGGTGGGCAGAACTTGCAAGCCTGGTTTACTCAGCGGCACGAGTTCAATGCCAAAAGTTGGACATGCTTCACGAAGCGGAAATCACAGTGAATGCATATGTATATGTTATATGTACCCATATCCTATATTTGCATATCATGTGTGCTTGCCATGGCATGCCGGCTTGTGAGACATTGAGTTCTGCCAGATGCCAGTTTTTGAGGCCTTGTTTCAATCGCCAAGTTGGGATCCTCGGACACCACAGAGGACACCGGAAACCTTTCCTTGTGTTCAAAACCGGCAGCGCCGCTTGACCGTAGCTGCAGCGCCGAATGTTTATGTTTTTGGGGTTGAAGTGCCAGAGAGCAGGAACAAGATCTGAAACAACTGTGACGTGTGCCAAAACTCCATGCAATGAAGATGTTGTTTGTGTTCTGATACGTGTGTTTATCCGGGAATGTGGATAGCCTACTTCAAATATCTTGCGCCGGCTAATGTGCTAAAGAAAACTTTCTTCGTTTTGCGTGGTCAGGTTGACTTGGCGAGTTTGTGCAGGTGAAGGTGCCTAGGTTGACATGCCTAGGAAAAAGGATCTTTTTTGTCCGATTTATGGGGTGCTTTAGCTAACCAAATTTTGATCCACGGTCAAAATACAATTTGTTTATTTATTTGTTTAAAGGCTCTTTACAAGTCGGCCGGTCAGATTGGACGCCCCAGATTTCGTGGCACTTTGCAGACAATGTTTGTTGCCCGTCTTCTGATGGCATTCTGAGGTTTCGTCCACTCCTTCACCGGCCTAGTGTGGCCAATGCTGTGATTGAAGAGGTGCAGCTAAGCTCCATGGTGCTCTCGGAAGTGAAGCAGGGTTGACATTAGGATTATTGTTTCCTCCAGACTCAACGTTCGTTGCCAATGACATGTTCCCATTGTGCAATTTTGGCCACCAGGAGGACGAAGAGGATGCGTCAGAGAACGATCCCGTTCCTGGCAGTTTTGAGGCGGCCGTCCTTGAGAACAGGACGAATGACACCGTGTCCATTCTTTCTAGTCCATTGTCCATTGAACTGACTGACTGTTGATATTTTCAAACGAAGGGTATCAGGCCAGTCAGTCACAACTTCGAAGGGAGGGGAGAGATTCGCCAGGCTGACAGCACTCAGGTGCGAAGTCGTCTTTGGGTCGCAGCCTGAAGAACAAGTTAAACCGCTCAAGAAATCCTTTCTTCAAAGAACTTTGATACTATCAGTTGGAGTCTCAATTGCGGTTTCTTTACTAACTCGGACTGCTCCAAACAAAGAGAGCTTCTACAACAGCAAATACAGATATCCAGTTTTGAGATGTTTTGAGCAGCCCGTATCAACAGATATGTGCGGGCTGTTTGCGAAATTGACGATTTCGAGGCTCAGAGCTTGTTGCGGCTCCGACGCTCCATTGATGAAATCTACTTGCGCCACACCTGCAGATGGTGATGTTTTTTTTGTCTTTCGTGTGTGCCAACTGCTGCCCCAACGAATTACTTGCCGTCTTTTGGTCTAAAATTTGCTCAATCTGCTTATCGAGAGCTTCAGAAGCAAAGGCTTTGTGAGTTCGAGAGTGCCGGGGCCCTGGCCACATAGCAGACTGTTGGAGCTAGCCGGGTGTGGCAGTGTGTGGCGGTGTGTGCTCTGGAGGATGAAGGGCTCACTGAGCAAGTCCAGAAGATTCTAAAGCAGGCTGGCCAGGCTGGACACCTCGAAGTTGTTCTTCTCACATTTACTTTTTTTTCTTTTTTCTGAACGAATATTCAAGAAACATATTTGCACTTTTTTCATCATTCCTCGAGGACTTCGGTTCTTTGCTAAAGCAGCTTGACAACCAGCAGGTCGGAATCAATTGACCCGCTCCTTAGGCATTCTTTAGTCATCCACATCAACTGACTTCAGGAATATGCTCTCATGCAGGGAGAGTACCCCTTCAAGACTGGTGTAGTCCCAGCCTCGGGAGGAGAAAGATGTTACGTTATCCTTTCCTTCGAAAATGCATGTAAAAGGCCGAGCTCGAATTTTGATCACCACGAGTTCTTTCTGTATATAAACATATTAAAGCACCTAAGGCTTTCTTAAAAGAAACATGCAAAAACAAATTATTTTCTTTGAATATAAAGTGCATTTTTTCAGACCCCAACCGGCGAAGGCTTGGACTACCCGGCCATGCAAGGGAGGGGAGTCTATGGCTGAGCACATTGAAAAGGTGGGAAGAACGCAAAGCGGGTAACGAAGCAACGCACATTGACAATCGATTATTTTGTTCAGCTTGCTTGAGACCTTTGTACCATGGGCTTTCTTGTGCGTTTCCGTAAACTTACAAGTTCAAGGTGTTTTCGACAATACATTCTGCATAATATATTGAACTTCAAATTCTTAGGGGCTTCTTGAGCCTTCTCCTTTGGTGCCAGGTCCAAGGTTCCCCTGTAAGTGCGTGACCTTCGACATGTTTGTCACCATGTCTTTGGACTCGAGAAAACTGGCCTTTTACTTGCCCAGTCTTGTGAATTTGCCAGGAGTCGTGTCAATGCCAAGGCCTTCTTCGATTCCTCTTCGTTGTATGATTGTTTGCTTTCTTACTTCACAAACCCGAGCCAACGAGAAGGTGCTTTGACGACTCTCGGATAGTTGCAGATTGGTTGGAACGGCAGGAGACAAAGCGAACAAGCTCTCGGGAGGGCAGGTGCGGAAGATGCAAGAAAACACTTCAAAAGTTTCAACTGCCTTGCTCTCTGCCTTGGTCTTGAACCATTAAACAGTTCTGTCTATCCACAAGGCGGAGAGGTGCGTGGCTGGAGGAGTTTGAGGAGAGGAATTCAGCGATGAACTGGTTCTTTGCTAGCGACTCACGAGGAAGTTCTAATTTTTGGTAGGAAGAGATAGGTATGTCCGAGGCAACTAGCATCTATGCCTAGCAGCGCCTAGCATGCTTGCCTTTTGCTTGTTCTTGTTGAAAGCACTTATATAGCTAGACTTAGCTTTCATCATTGTTGCAGGGAGACAGCCTAAGCGATGTCACGCAGCTCAGTACCTCTCTTGAAGAGAGGCAGGGGATGGAGGAAACAGGGATGGACGGAGAAGAACAGGTCATTCTTGAGATTTCCTTTCCAGATTTGCAAGGCCTGATGCCAAGGAAGACCAGAGCTTAGGTGAGGACTCTTTTGTAGCAGCTTTGGTTGACACTTGTTTTCAGCTTTGGCAGGTCGCGATCAAGGGGAGTGCGGGACCTAAAGTCGGCGCATACCGCACTCTTGTGGTGTTCCAATCTTCAAATCCGCACACGAAATGACTCGAACACATTTTTTCTTACACTTACCTCACCATAGAGTGAACCCAAGGAAGGGCAACAAGGACAGGAGTAGCCAGTTGTACTTCATGGTCCAGCCCAAAGCCTAGAGCCAGACAAAAAACTACTTTTGAATAACATACTGCCGTCAACAGACAGTCAAGCAGCGCAAGCACTTCATCTCTGTAGCAAAGGTCCACCTTGGAGAATGTGCACAAGCGCTTAGGCTGGTTGTAACAGCCAGGTTGAACCAGCTGTTTTGCAAAGCTTTGGTTTGGCCAGATTGAACTCAATGGCTGAGAGATTGAACGTAAAGTCTGCTTTCTCATTTTTGCTCTATGCATTGTTTGGAGTATCACAATCGTGCTGGCACTCCGGTCCTTGAACTGGAGGCAGCTCGTCTAAACCAAGCCCTGAGGCGGAATTCCTGCAACACTTCCCCAGCCCTTTGAGACTTTTTGAGACCAAGAAAAAAATGGAACGGTCTGAAAGTCTGACAGGTCTATATAAAGAAAGCGCAAAAATGCGGAAAGCCAGAAAGAGAATACAGAAAGAAGGAACTAAAGAAAAGAAAAGAACATACAAGAACATGTAAAAAGACCTTATTATACAATAAATTATATATGTCTTGAACATGTCTACAGATCTTTTAAACTGGCCTTTATGTTTCGGCAGACCAGGAAGTGCAGCAGCGCCACGAAGCGAGACAGAGGTGAAATGGGCCGATGTGCGTTCTTGCAAGAACTTTCTGGAAGAATCAAGAAAGTGGCTTCCAACCTAAAAGCGATGGCCTCCAACCTAAGAGCGAGGAAGAATCAAGTGGCCTTAGGATGCGCTAGTCAAAGTGGAATAGGAAACGAGGTAAACGGTGCGCATTTGTCCAGGCAGGCTCAGGCACGCCGCGCAGTACAAGATGAAGAGCGACAGCTGCAGCTGAGGCACAGCCTGAAAACACTGACTGAGCAGTGGTTGTCCTTACTTGAGCCCTGAAATGTCCTGAAATGAATCTCGCATAAGCCCTAGCGATGGCCTCCAGCCTACTCTTTCCCCAAGATTGCCAGTGGTGAAGATGCCAGAACACTTATGCCCGTCAAGAATTCTTCCCCGCACCTTGAGGCAAGCAGAGAGCCGTGCAACGGCAGCGCGGGAACGGCGGCAAGAGCAGGAGATGCGGAGGCCGAAGCAAAGGTAGATCCATTTCTTTTTAACTTTCTTGATCGTGAACACATGAAACACATGACCATTCTCTTGAAGCCGACTTCTTACGAGTGCAAGCAACACTGTGAGACGCTTGAGTTCTTATACAGTTCAACTTCAAGTAATGATTATGCCAAGACCCTGGTTTGGTCGGGTTTGGTCGGATCCCAATGGCAGGCAACGTGACTTGCTTGAGAAGATGACTCGTGCAAGAAGGCAGTATCAGGCACTGTCCGAGACAGTACACTCCTGGAGCAAAGGACGCTACTAGGGGCTCCTGGCATCGCTACTAGGAGCAAAGGACGCTACTAGGGGCTCCTGGCCTTACTACTAGGAGCAAGAAGCTATTAGAATTAAAAGTAATTAGAATTACCTGTTACATGAAAGGAAGAAGCAGAAAGGTCTAAAGGTTCAGTTTCCCCAGAGCAGCTGATCTCTCTACCCTCCTTTGCTGTCCTCACTGCCTACTCCCACCTATGACATTTCATTACAAGGAGCATGTCCAAAACCTGTGGATTAACTGGAATTCTTGTGTGCACCTTTACAATTACTTGTAGTGCCGTACAGTTTAACTTATACATGTGATGCATGCGCTTCAATCGAAGCATTTGCACTTGTCATCGTCTCTTTCCTTTCTACAGGACCAGCTTCGAGTCATATGCCAGCGAGCTCATAAGGCGGTGCCGATTGTCATAGGATTTTCGACTCCTTAACTTGCACACAGAAAATAGAAACCAGACAGAACAGTTAGCATGTTCTAGCGCTATTTCGTTGCTAACGGATAACTTGGTAGGTCAAGTTTGTTCCGATTCCTTGCAGTCTCCCAATTTTCGACTCAGAAACCTTCAATTTAAGAGGTAGCGCCAGCGCTATGTTTTTGGATGCAGAACCACTGCAGCTGTTTTCTTGCACAATTTTGGTCAGGAAAACCGAAAAGCGCATGAGGTTGCTTTCTTGGCCTGCCTGACATGGCTTAGCATGACTTTGCATGACAATTCTAAGATTATTTTGATTTGGATGTCGGGATGTATACGTACCCAAACCTGCAGAGTTGCTCAACAAGAAACCACCCACTTTTGTTTGGGCAGCATCAAGACTTTTCAACAAGAATGCAGCATGTTCTAGTTGTACTATTGTTACTACTAGTAAGGCACTTGTTACTAGAAGCGATGCACCTGTTCCTAGTAGCTTCTTGTTACTACTAGAAGGCACTTGTTACTAGAAGCGATGCACTTGTTCCTAGTAGCTTCTTGTTACTACTAGTAAGGCACTTGTTGTACTATTGTTTAACAACATAAGTTTTATGTTTCTTGCTTTAGTCCTAATGTTTCACTGTCCGCCAGGCTAAAGAAGCTTTGAAAAGTGAATGTGAAGCTCTTAAGAAGAGCCTTTGGCAGCAACATCTTTGCTGAAATAACATGCATTAAGCCCGAAAGAACTCAAGATAGCCTACACGTGACAAAGACAAGCTCGATGTTGTGCTTTCAAAGCTGTTGTGATTCATTGTAGCGGTTCACCACTGAAATCTCTGGTGTGCCACATTGGAGGAAACAAGAGAATGCCCGCGTGTCGCCTGGGCCTTTCAGAGTTTCGTGCGAAACCATATTAGACCTTTCTTCCTCTTCTGTTTTCTTTGTTTCTAATAGCGATGACCTCCAACCTACTAGCAATGGCCTCCAACCTACTGGCAATGGTCTCCAACCTGAGAGCGTCGTGGCAACCTTTCAGACTTTTGACTATCCTGTCCAGCTATGCTAGTACTACCAAAAGAAGCCTGTTGCGTCCTAAAAGTGGCATTGCATCGCAAAGAAGCGCAAAGGAAATGACAGGTGGAGGTGTCGAGACTCGGGTGAGTTCTGTAGAGACTTGGAGGTCATCGCTATTAGGTTGGAGGCCATTGTTCTTGGCTTCCCACGCTTTTTTCCTAGGCGGAAGCTTCTCCGTGAGCAGATGCAGCAGAAGCTTATCGAGAGTCGCTCATCGAAATTTTATTTTTCATTCTTCGCAGCTCGGCATGCGCTCGATTCTCACAAACTGGCCCCGTTTCAGGCGCCGCGCGGGTGGCCAAAGTCTCGGAGAAGCGGAAGCAGTGCCTAGATCAAAATCAATGACCAACTGACCAACTCTTTTTTTAGCCCGTGGCCGTGCCTCCTTACTCAATTAAGTAGACAGGGCAACTAGCCGCTACCAGCTACTGGACGCAGGATAGCTCACGCTTCTTCAAGGAAGCTCCCCCTGCCTGAGGGCTGGGGGGAGCTTACTTGAAGAAGCGCTCGCACTAATCATTTGGTTCCTAGAACTTTAGGAGAACTTAACGATGACCAACGGACGCTACTAGGGGCTCCTGGCCTTACTACTAGGAGCAAGAAGCTACTAGGAACAAGAAGCTGCTGCATTCTTGCTACTAGGACCAACGGACCAACCTTTCAGAAAGGCTAAGCTCGTCCTTCTTTTTCTGTCTTTGAACCCCTTGACAATCTTCTCAGCTCAGGCAGTTGGAGACCTGGCAAGAGAAGGCCTTGTTACAATCCAAAGATTGCATTGATCTCTTCACCACGAAAGCAGGTTCAGCAGGAACTTGAGGAGAAGGACGATTGGACATGCACGTCTCACACCGTTCATGCGAGACTTCACATGTTGCTGGTTAGACGAAAGACTGTGGAGACAACGCTTTGACAAAACTTAGGTGTGAGACTGTGAGACAAGGTGTTTGTGTAAGAGACTGCGGATTGACATGTTTCTCCAGGAACGTTTGGCCTCCGAACGGCGCAGGGAACGGATGAATTCTATCAAGTGCGCCGGTGCACAAATTTGCTGCAGAGTTTTGTCTTTGATTGTTTGATTAGCTCCTGCTGTTTGCAACTGAATTGAACTTGCTTGGCAGTTCTTTTTTGCCCAGCAGTTTCTGTCATGGAAGGAGAGCACTCAAGAGAACTCGAGAGAGAGAGAGAGAGGGAGAGAGGAGAGAGAGAAAGAAATACAGAAAAGAAGGAACGTAGCGGCGTCTAAAGGTTAAGCTCTCCACAATCGAGGAACCCTCGCGCTACTGGGTCTGTGCTACTTGTAGCTCCCTGTCACTACTACCTAGCTTACCCTATCACCTCATATCACCTCCAGCTTCGCGGCCTGCCCTCCTCAACAAGAAAATCATAATTAACATGACCTTTTTTGCATGAACATTCTATCCAAATTTACATAGACAAAGCAAGAACTACAACATTCTGAGACTCTTGGCTCCTATCATGAAAAGCACAACCCCCCAGACATCTGGAAACTTATTTTTCTTTTCGGGTCTTTTCGAGGCTTATTTTATACGCTTTTGTCTTTTGGTAATCTACCGAAACTTTGTAGAGATTTTTGTCTTTCACTGGCAGAGCCTGCTGCATTGCGCGCAACCCGCATTCCTGGCAGTGTAAGCCCACCTCCGGTTTTGCTGCCATAGCCTTTTTGCACTTCAAACAATCGGCACTCCTCACCGCCTTCGGAGTTGGCATGGAACATGGTGGCTGTAGAGTTGAACTTTGTAGAGATTCTCCCTTATCAACTTGATAGGTTCCATGCCCACAGACACAAGCATACCTTCACCTGCGACCCACAAAGGGGATGCTTGAAGGAGCGCCTGGGGCAGAGCAATCTCTCAGCTGATTTCGAGGGTTTGCGAAGGTCCCGAATGAGATACGTGCGCTTGGACATGCTTTGCCGTGATCACTTGATTCAGTGCCCGAAAATGAAGCGGAAGGCAAGGCCCTACGCTCATGCGAAGAAAGAGGCAATTAAAAACCTGAAGTAGGATCAAGCAAGATCGCTTTAGGCATCAACAATGTGGACATTCTGACTGCCCGTTAAAATTTAAAAGGGAATTGTTTGCTGCACTGTTACTGAGACCCTCCTGGTGTTAGCTTCATCTGCATCGGTCTGCTTCAGCCGTCCCACATCCGCCCATTTGCGGTATACCCAAACAGCTACCGGCATTTTATCAGCAGATTGTCACTTTAGCAAGTTGATGGCGAGTACATACCAATACCTTCTTTGTTGTCTTGGTGCTCAGCATGGTGCAGCAACCGCGTGCTTGTGTCCGAACTCAGTGCAAGCCCATCCGACAATACCCTGAACTCCCAGATCCGGTGATGGCATCCTTCTTGGAACTGTGCTAGTCTCAGATTAAAACACCCTTGCTGTGGATAGCTTGGCGCTACTGCTTGATGCCTGGTACATCAATTCTCCATGATCCCTGGGACGGTCTTAGCTAAACAAGACATCCGCAACGTATAACCTTTGCCTTTCCTTCTTGCATTGTGACAGGTCTAGTTAAATTGGGCTCTACCAGGCATCATTCCTGTGGAACTTGTGGAAGAGTGCTTTAGTTGCGCCTTATCTCGTGCTGCTGTTGTTTGTTCACTTTCATTCTCATCTTCAACTGTTTTCTGTGCAGCTCTACTCTTGTCTGGCGAAGCCTTTTTCTGTTCATCTTGATTTTCATTTTTGTCAAAAGGCCTGCTCCTAAAGAAAATGGGATGCTGGAGTGTCGCCAGTCACACGCCCTGCCATTAGGTCTCTTGCACAGCTTTGACCTTCGACCCTCTGACATGCAAACATCGTAAGTTCTTGGCTTAGGCTTAGGCTCTAATTTAACCATCACCGGCCACTCGTCAAGAGTAAAAAAAGAAGAGCACGTCTTCTGAGAAATATCATTTTTTTTCTAGCTGCGCCAGGCTCAAGAGCCAAGGCCATGAGACTCGCTCAGAGATTGTTCAAAGGAAGTGACTTGGGCAAAAATCAAGTGCATCGCCACTAGGAACAAGGACGCTATTAGGTGGAGGCCATCGCCACTAGGAACAAGTGATAGGTCGCTTCGGTACTGACGCGGTCGGTTTTCCTCGGCCTTCCTTCCTCAACGCAACAGCGGAAATGACAGTTATCAAATAGGAGCAAGAATTCAGTGAATGTAGGATTCTTGAAGCTTCTGTTGAGTAGTTCACGGTTTCTGTTCGCTGATTTTAGGTTTGATTTTGTTGACGTGATTGCTTTAGGCGTCGGGAGCTTCAAGAGGTGGATGAACGTACAACGCAGGTGGGAAAGCTCACACAAGAAAGAAAAGAAGGAAACAACATGAAAGGTCTACAGATCCCAAGTAAAGATAATGAAACACTGATAAACCTGATAAGACTTGATTATGTTACTTAACAAACCTTGTTGTCTATCTGAAATAACCGTTGAACCAACGCGGAGCGAACCACTTTAATGCCATAGCTTCTATTTGTCTGTTTTGAGAAAGAACTTCGGGTTCTTCTGAGATTTTTGCATGGAGAAAACTTAGAAAACCCATGTAGTCCCGTATGTAGCGGTACGCATGTAGCTACGTATCAACACAGAAACTATCTCCATACTAGCTATCTAGTTGCTTCCTTGACGAATCTACTAAATTTACCAGACTTACCTTTCAGATACCTACTACATGCAGCTGCCTATCATCCCCCATCCCCCCCGTCTTCACTGCGTGACCTACCCCTCCATACAAGATATATCAAACAATAAACATAAAACACAAAACAACAGCGAAAAGAAAGGAACTCTTCGTGTCACAGGAAACTCCAGTTTCTCGCTAAAGCAGGAGTTTTTGCGGTTCCGGAACAAGAACATTGGCAAGATGGCATTGGATTGTGACGGGTCCAAGCCCTCAGAATTGGGTCCCACCTTCCAAGCCTCGAAGCCCGCTCCTACTTAATTACTGTAAGTAGGCGCCTAATTGATTTGAGTAAGGAAGTAAGCTTAGGGCGACCAGTTAGCTTCTAGCAACTGGACGCAGGATAGCTTACTCTTCTTCAAGTTTGTTCCTAAAACTTAACTTTCAATTCACAGTTTGAGATTTCCTTTCGAATGCCATGAGCCTGCGTGAACTTGTGAATTCCGAGAAGCAAGGCGTTTCGCCGAGGCTTCCAGAGGCTGTGCGTGAGGATTTGGATGCGCAAACCACAAAGCCTCGCCGCAAGGTCGGCCAGGGTCAGGAGGGCGGTCGGGGCATCGGTCGCCCTTGGGTAAAACTAGATAGCTTTATTGTTAGCGATGGCCTCCACCTAGTCGCTTCTAGTTACTAAGAAAGCTTTATTGTTACTAGAAGCTTCAAAGACCTAACAAGCTTCTTGTTACTACAGGTGAAACGATTCCCAGCAAAACAATCTTGGGTTGAAAAAGAGAAGATAGAAAAGACACCGCTCTCAATCTTTCTCAATTGGATTTCGCGGACCGCTTTGTGTGTGAGCTCAGGCTGCGACGCCTACCCCCACTAGAGGAGGCCACGCCGAAGGGCTGTACACAGTCCCTACCGAGCCTCATTTGGCCCCACTTGACCGAGCTTGACGCCTCGTGTCAGGTCGTTCAAGTGACAGTCCAATGCTTAGTCCTACAAGCCATGCAAGGTTGTTCTTACCAGCTTCTTGGAAGATTTCTCGTTCCTGATCTAGAAGTAGATGCTGTCGTATGAGTTTATAGCTTGTTTCGTGTGTCTAGACGAGAGAGAAGACTTCAGGCCTCTCCTGATTTTGCAAAGTTGACTCAGCAAATCCGATCGAATGAATACAGTACCAGCTCTCTATGGTCAGGCCCGCTTGCTTGCAGCGAGCCTGCAATCGTGGCAACTTGGCAGTTGCAATATTCCGTTACTGATCTTGAGACTAAGTGTCCTTGATGGACAAGACCAAGATTCATTTTTTCTGAAGCATACAATGGGCGATTTGGATATGATGAGACACATTCCATGGCTGGTCTTGAAGAGACCGCTTCTCAAGGAGACTGTAGACTTTGAGGAGGCCTGGTGCGAGTTAAACCCACGAAAGCAAGAACTGTTTGTGAATGATTCGCCAATCGCTGCCATGCAGAGAATGGGCCCCCTTGTGAGACAGTGACGACCACACAACAGTGCCCCATTGTCTGAGTTTCTCAACTTCTTGTGTGGAATTGGGTTGTTAATTTGACACTTTGGCTTTGATTCCTTTTCGCACTAGCAGGATACCTCCCCGCGGCAGGCAGGGAAGGATGCTGACTATGGAAAGTTGGTAAGTGAACCACCTTAATGTGGTGCCAAGTTTAGAAGAAGACTTCATCATATTCTAGTGTACGCCTTCTTTCATAGCTCAGGCAATCGTCGATAAACTCCGCAGCTCGTTGTGAGGTGCCGAAGTTCTCTGCTAAAAGAGCTGCTCTAAGACAAGAGCTGATGGCAGTTGCCCTGAGTGATGAGGAGGAGTGAAACGGGGAGCGAACTGCAGTGACAAAGCTCATTAAACATTGTTCCATCATGTTCCATCTTCATATGTCCACACAGTCATGGGGGTATTCTTGGGGCTTGCTGAATAGACATCCGCCAGGCTTTGCGTATGGCCTGTGAAAGTGACCTTCGCAACGCTACTCAGAACGCAGCACAACGCGGGGAGACTCAGGCTGGTGCCTTTGGAGTACACGAAGACTGAGGCGTTTGCCACGTGTTTCGTTTGACAGCTTTGACTCCACAGCTCGCATTGAACCCACAAACAACAAAGGTCATGAGTCATGAGGTAGAAATCGTTGACACTCGAGCAGACTCACATCGTCTATATATGGGTCGAATAGAGCGCAGGCATGATACAACCACTGTCTCTCCCAGCTCCCAAACCGAGTGTCCTAAAGCGTAGTTGGTTTCTTGCGAGCCATGGATCGAGCTCAACTTGCAGAGCTGCCCGTATGGTTGGTGCAAAGCATCTCACCTCGAATTAGTCACAGCAAAAAACCGGTGTTATCTCCGTTCTTCCATTTCACATGTTATCAAAGAGACCTTTTAAGCAAACTAGTACACATTTGTTCTCTTCGCCAACACTAGAATGCTGCTTTGAAGGAGTCAACCGTCCATCACAGTCAGAAGAAAGCCAGTAGACTTGAGTGGTAAGTACTGTAGTATCTATTCTTGTTTCTTGGAACATACTGCACATATACATATATATATATGACTGCTATCCACTTCACACTGGTATTGTGTTTTGCATTTTGTTTATGTGAATTGGGCGGCCGAGGCTCTCTTCTGGGTGCCCCACAGCTGCGAAGCCTGAGTTTGCTGAATCGGCGACTGGCTGAGCAGGCCCTCCTTCAGATCTTGTTGGAGGCCAGGAGTTTTGGCGGTCGAACCAGATTGTAAGGCTCTGGGATGCATCACACGACCAAAAGTGCACAAAGCGCGAGCACACGTGCGTTTCGTTTGTTTTCAGGTAACAGCATCCAATCGCTTTGAGTGCTAGAGTAACATATTATGGAAGATACAGTAGCATAGCAGACAGATATTGGTAGATGATCCTCTTATGGTTTTCTTGTTCTGCGACCTGTGTTTCGAGTGTGTTAGAGAGGATACACCTCAAAGCCCCTTGCCGACCACAGGATCAACTAAATCATGAACTAAGCGGGTCAAACGTTTTGCATTGGCCAGCCGCTTCACTTTTTCAGGCTGCTCAAGCTGTGCCTCGAGGCACCCGCAGCATTGCTTCCTCGCCCGACCCCTCGGACAGTGAGATTGAAGATGCCGAGGCACTATAGACCCTTTCTGACCAAGCTTTTGAAAGACTCTAGTAGAGACCAAAGCTAGACGGTGCTGGTCGTTGTGAGCTTTTCTTGAAAGCCTAACAGCTTTCATGTCACGCTCTCAGGTGGTTCTCAGTCCAACGGTCTCAGTTCGAAACTCCGAGTCCTCCGACGAGGATGCCCTATTGACGGAAAGGAGCGAGAGGAGCGAAAGAAGACATCCTTGGCATTGGTCGCCTTGGCCTCCGCCGTCGCCGGTGTCCGACTATTTGAATCGGCCAACTCCTCCGATGAGTGATTTGCCATCCTTGCGCTCCTTGCAGCTGCAGAGACAGCTGCAGAGTTTGCAAGATCGCCTTGAACATCTTGAAGAATCTTTGCAACACCAGGTACCGAATATGCCCCGCCCAAAGGTTGAAGATTTGGCGGGTGAATATGCGGCCTGGCAGCCATTGAAATGCGCACTCTTTCTTGTGCCAAAGCTGCTATCCAAGCAAAGTGCCATGGCACAGAAGGCGGTTTCGGCAGCAACTGATCTCCTGAAGCAATCTTGTGCCCGCATATCAGACGGTGATTCAGAGAAGAGCGTTGAGATCGACAAGTTCCCTGTGGTTGTGAGCGTCTTGGCAATGCTTACACAGATGGCAAACCGCGGTGATGAGGAAGTCATAGAAGCGATCTTGCGTCTGCTTGAGATGCATGCACTTGGCCAAAGCTTCAGCTTTATTTTGATTCATTTTCTTGTCCTTGAATGTTGTATTTTGTTGTCATTTCTTGATCAATGCAATCCTCAAAGCTCACATTTCTTTGGGCAGGACCCAGCACACTGGTGTGTCGTGCGCGTGGTTATCTTGAAGGGTCGCTATAGGCACACCATGAACTACGAGGGCGTGCGCCGTGCAGCGGTGAAGGCTCTTGGCGAATTGGGCGACATTGGAAATGCTCAAATCACCGAGAGCCTCGCGTCGATTGTGAAGGACCGAAAGCTGTCGAGTTTGTGCTAAACGGGTGCTTTAAGCCCTTTAGGTCCGGCTTTGAGCTTCTGAATTTGCTCAAGCTGCTAAAGACTCATCGTAAGGCCAGGAGCCCTTAGTAGCGTCCTTGCTCCTACGTAGTAGTACGGCCTAAGTTAGTCGCGAATGCTTTGCTTCAGGTCTAAGCCAGTCAACACGACCTGCCAGGATCAGCAGGACTGTCAGAGTTACGAGGTCCAATCCTTGGCTCTACAGGTGCAGTCCGAGCTCTCTTTTTCTTTTTCTTTTCTCTTCTTTTCTTTTGCAAAATAGGGCTTTTACGTGTTGACTCTTTACATGATAAACGTGTTTGTATAAACAATGGTTTGGCTGTGAAGGTGTTTTTTGTTTGCTCAGCTTCTGACCCTCAGGCCTTGTTGTCGTTGACGTCTTCAGAGGCCTTGTGGCCACAATTGTCGCAGCTCCTGGGCTGCAGCGGCCAAGTCCGCCGGGACGTCGTCCAGGCTTTGGAGAAGTTGGCGCCAGCTGATCTCGCTGTCCGGAAGGAAGTGACAGAGCGCCTTGGCACTGAGCGGATATGAACCCCAAAACCAAGGACCAATTTAAGTGGTTGTGAAATGTAAAGTCTTCTGAAAGGAAAAGCGATAAGCGACCCTCAAAGCGAAATCCTTTGTTACCCACCTCTTTTAGCAAACGCTCACTTGATCACCTTGAACGAGATCCCAACTGATGGTGCACGGGATAAATATCCAGATCACTTCAACAGGTATTTCGACAGGTTCACAGTTTGCAATAGTGAAAGGAAGTTAGAAGCAAGAAGCTACTAGTAGCTTCTGGCATTACTACTAGGAACAAGAAGCTTCTAGTAACAAAGGGCATCGCTACTACTAGCTTTTCAAGTTGTGGAAGATCACACCAGATAGGTGCTGCTTCCAGGACAAGTGTCGGTTTTTAAGGCCACATAGGAATACGCTTTCAATATGTGATCTGGAAGAAACATCGGCACCAGCCATCTCCATTGGCTGGTTTTCTGACCAGGAGCTTGATATAAATCATGCTCGGAGGGAAAGGAACGGGCAAAATGAATCAAAATGGCCAAAGTAATATTTATGCATCATTGTAAAACAAACTGATGCAAAGTCAGTGTACACTGTACCATAAGTCCACGAAAAGATCATTGTTACTTCACAAACAAAAGGAAAAATGAGCAAAATACCGAATGCGTTCTGGAAAGGCCTCCTCAGATGTCGACCTTTTCTCTAACGTTGGAGGCCATCGCTAGTAGGTTGGAGGCCTCAGGTCTTGAGATGTCGACCTTTTCTCTACAACTCAAGGGTTTGTGCGCTGAGATCTGCACCATCCAGGTTTCTGAGCGCTGAGATCTGCCGCCGGCCACAGGCGGCCAAAACGGCTTTGGAGGTTTTGCAGCGCTTCCTTGGCCCAGAAACAGCATCCCGAGCAGTTGAAGCACTTGTGGTACCTTGAAGCACTTGGGCACACAACGCACACATATGCAGACCACGCCATAGTGCGTGACAAGCTGTTTTGTTTCTCTTGCGGCTGTTTGACCTGTTCCTTTTCGGCGGGCTTCGTCCTCGATCTTGTTTCTTTCCAGGGAATCAACAGTTTCCGAGAACCCTTGAAGAATCATCTGAGTTATCGGGTGCTCATGATTGCCACGATGACATCTTCTGACAGTGTGTTCCATGATCGTTAGACAATTCTGATCTCCATAGTCGGACGAAATCGAACGGTCACTCCAGCCTCAGGAATCTCTTGGCTGCAAGCTTTGTTTCTCTGGTGAAGAATGCTTGGGAAGCAAATGGTCCAGCAGCGATGAAATGGTGCAAGAACTGTTGCGCACCTTACGTTCCATCATGCAGCAAGGCACAGAAATGTCAGAATTGGTCAGGCTCCTCGAACACCATTTGTTGAATTTTGTCAGATTCTCAAGACACGATTTCATGGGTCATTATATACATAATATATATATTTTTAAATACGTGTCACACATATATACATATATACATATATATACACATTCTTTAAGTATCCTCAATAGATTCGGATGACATGAGAGATCTGAGGCGTTCCTTTTGCCAGCTACGCCCGATGCCATTTTGGTGTCCAGTGCTGGATGGAGAGCGATACTTTTGCTGCCAGTGCTTTGGCCGTGGCTGTCAGGGTTACATCCTGGCTGGTCACTGCAAGGGTTGCTACAGGTGTCAGGCCCGAATGTCTGGATCGTGATACAGGTGAACGCATTTCGTTTGGGCATATCATTTCAAGGCATTTGTAGACAATTTGCATTTCTGTCTGGTTCTTAATGTATTTAATGTAACTTTTGCGTCAAAGCTTGCATCCACCTCACTCTACATAAGGATAGCTTTCAGGTTCTTTCCCATACAATCCACCCGAACGCAGGCACCAGGCCGACGACATGGTTGTTACCGATGTGGAAGCTTGGTGTGAAGGCTTTGAGTAAGTTTTCCCAAAGTAGCCAATGAAGGCGACCAGATTCAGCAAGCACATTTTTAATCACCATATCTTCAACATGTACTATTAGGTTGGAGGCCATCGCTAGTAGTACAAGTCGGTCCAGTCCAGCTGAATTCGATCCTTTTGCTGAGGCGACCGGCTCGATGGTTGGGAGTCTTCGACCCAGTGGCTTCACCCAGAGAACTGTGGAAACACCTGCTACGTGGAGGCTTTGACAGGACTTCTGCTGAGCCGCAACGCACGGGTGGCGCTCGAAGCCTCAAAGCTCCTTGCGGCTTCGAAGCCCACGGGTGGCGCTCCGAAGCTCCTGCGGAGGGTCCGGCGGCTGCGTCAGGACCTCGCCACCTGGAGCGAAGACGCTGAAGACGAGGCTGAGGACGACAGGCCGAGGCCGAGACCTCACTTCATCAGTTGTGGGTGCAGAGGCACCTGCTTAGAGGTCTTGGAACCTGTGGGAGTGCACAAGCAATGCCCTGATGTCCTGGAGCTCTTGAAGATTCTAGATCAACTAGCCAAAAGCGCGACAGAATGAGGAGAAAACAAGCTCGGTTTGAAGAAGGGCAAAAGTCATGAGAATTGCATGGTTTGAAGTTGTGAGACATCATGCTCGCAGCCGATTCTGAGGTGCCAAGATCAACAAGCTTGCTGGCGACCTTGCAAAACTCCTTAAGACCACTGCCGCCTGCTCTGCCACTTGAGCTGAAATCATACCTTTTTGGGCCCACCTCGTGGTGCCTTCATGGTGCCTACGCTCGAAAACAGTCACAAGTCACACTGTGATTTCAGGAGGACGCGCATCCAGGCTTCTTAAATTTGGAGAAGACAGAGGCGGTCTGGGGCCTAGCAGAAACGCATTCAGCTTGTGTGGAAGCTAGCCGTGTGTCCACCAGAGTTTGCAGACATGTTTCAGCTCCAAAAGCTGAGGTCTTGTCAGAATTCTGTAAGGCCACACGCTACATTTTTCGGCTTAGAATTTGAGTCTTTTTGCATGAGGGTTGCAGTATGCCTTCAGAAGCCTAATTTGTTGCCTTTGGCCTGTGTGCACATTTTCACTTATGCAAATGCCGCAACAGCGCAGGTTTTGACGCAAGTGCAGAGAGAGGCCGACCTCGCGCTGATTCTGAAACTGAACTGTGCTAGGCCAGGATGTCACAGTGCAGTTGGTCTCGATTTTATGCCGCAAGATGCCCGCAACGACTAGAAACGGGAGCAAAGACCCCAGAAGGAGAATGTCAAATTACGAAAGAGTGCCTGGAGTGCCGGCAGACTTTAAATCTAGATTCTGGTACCGAGAGGCATCAGCAACTAGTCCTGGCAGCTGGGTTCGATCTCCCTCCCTTCAACCAACTCACTCATTCTCCTTCCTCTTGTCTTGAAATTGGAGACAACACAAGAAAAAACCAAATAGTAAAGAAAAGAAGAAGGGGAAGAGGAAGAAGAAGAGGAAGAAGAAGAAGGGGTGGAAGAGGAAGAGGAAGAAGAAGAAGAAGAAGAAGAAGAAGAAGAATGGATAAGCAAAGACATCACTTCCACAAGACTGATGCAAGCAACCTTTTCTGGATCGTCCTTTGCGTTTGCCCCGCCAGAACATGCTACCAAAGGATGAGCCGGGCCAAAGTTGGTGCTTGTAGTCTGACAGTACTCCGTTAACGAACCATTTTTCTCGGTTGCCATCATCTTGCTTGCCATGCTTGTGTACATACATGTGTGCATGCTCACAGCTATCACCACATTGGGAGAGTTGTTTCCAGGCATTTGTTTCTGATTGACTGGACTAAGCAAACACACTCTGACACTGGTTTTCAGTTAACTCAATTACTCCGATGG